AGAGTATTTCAGTGGGACACTGTTTACAGAACAATCTCATTACAGGAAAGCTTCATGACATCTGTTTTTCTACCACCATCTCATTACATCAAACTTCTTACCATGGTTAAGCCACAGCAATTTTATCGTCCAGCTCCCTCTCTAAAATTGGTATGCTATTACTTCTGTACTTCAGGTGAGCATTGTGAGATAAAATGAGGGCATCAAAAATTGTAAGATTATGTTAAAGTCACCCTCATAAGCAAGCCAGTTATATTATCTATTCAATATAATTAGGGTAAAAATATATCATGCCTGTCATGTGAAGACTGCCATGACAAATAGCATTATCTGACATAACACACCTGAATGCAGAAGCCCAAACAGAGGAATAGTAATTGAAGTATGGCAACAGAAACACTGACTTAAACTGACAACATCTTGCCTTGACCTTAAGTAATAATTTACCTATTTTGTTTTGTAATAAAAATTAGGTATATTCTCTCCAGATAAAACAAAAACAAACAAATAAAAAAATTTTTTTTAAAAAGACTCTTACTCTTTAAATTAAAGACAAATGTAGTTAACATGTTAAAACTTAAAACTGGGTCCTTTAAAAAGTTAGCATCTGTGTCAATTTTTTCTTTGTCCCAAATGATCTTTTAATAACATGGTAACAAAGACTCTTTAACTTTTTCATATGTTTAAATTAATTGAAATCTTGTGCACAAGTTATATATAAAGAAATTAGGTTGCAATTAAGCATAGTTATTAATGATTCTTAAATCCAGTTGTTGTGACTATTATAGATCACAGACAAGGTCAACTCTACAACTCAGGAAACCGGCTTCAAAGAAAAAATACCACCTAAATCATAGGCATAAACCCCACTTTTGTAATGATACAGCTCTAACCATACTAAGCACGTTCATCAATTTAAAAATACCAGCTGTTGCCAAACTGATAAATTAAAAACATGTCCCCCCTCTGTAAAACATTAAATTTAAACTTAGTAAATACAGTAAAAACATGCTAAGTAAAATTAAAAATACTCTTACAATAATTTAAAAAAACCCCACCACGCTGCAAAATGTTGTGATTAAAAGCATATCCAAAGTTCAGAAGCAATTTCAGCAATTACTGCAGAATCCTTACTCTAACTGCATAAATGTCAAATACATGCTTTAACTTCTGAATATCAGCAGCAAGGTTCAGATCACTCTATTTCAGATCTTTAGTCAAGATCACTTCACTTTCACCTGTAGGCTTTAGAAGGAAAAACACTGGTGTCATCTAAAAAGGAAACTCAAAGACAACTCATTTGTCTCCTAATCTAGCTACAGGAGAGAACAGAAAGAAGAACAAAAAACTATCCTCTCCGAAACAAAACACACTGAGCTAGTGAATTGCAAGAATATCTTTGCAGCAGCACAGGGACAGAGATCCTTGGTTCTTATCACTAGATCTGAGACAGTAAGTCACGGTCAACCATAAAAATACAAATACATTCCCACTCCCCTCTTGCCTGAGCAGGCTCTGTTCTAAGACAACTGCTCCGCTGGCTCTCTGCTTGTTCAAGGTCTGATGTCTCACGGGGTACATCTGCATTACTACTCTAGTTTAGATAAGGAGAGCATTTTGCAACAGTCTTCCTATCACCCTACTTAACACACTTTCGTTTGCTGCATGTAGCTCTCCTGCAGTGCACAAACCCAGGTCCTTTCAGATGAAACCAAAAACCACAAGATGTATACCAGGAGCACTGCCAAAGGGGCACAGGAGCAGACAGAAGCCAGTTCAAAATAACACCCACCTCACTTTGCAAATGCAATGAGTGTAAATTGGTACCAGGTCCTCATGACCAATGCATTACTTGCTCAGGCAGGCCCAGCTGCAGCACTTCAGGGTCTATTTTCATCTTTAAGGTGGGACCTGACTGCACCTGAGGTTCACTGAGCTTCTCAGGCTTTGCTTCTTTTTGGGTTTTGTGTCTTCTGTGGTCCAGCGTTATTACCTCCAGGCTATCATCTCTCCCTGTTTGACAATTCACATATAATGGCTCACTCTTCCTTGATATCATCTATTCCCACAACACTGAAACTTCTCCTAAAGACTACTCAAAGCCTGAGTATGATCATCTTTAATTAAATATACTTCATTGTGTCATTTCTTAACTTTGAGCGCTGGCTGATTTTAAAATAGTGGTACTTTAACAGGTTCATCATTTAAACACACAAAGAGAAACGAGAGCACTGAAGCCAACTGCGTAGCATTGCATCAGGTCTTCAGTGCCCAACAGCAGGGTTAAAAGCTTACAGAGGTACAGTCTGACACAGATACTTCGCTAAGGATAATAAAGAAAACATTTTCAGTGCGTTTCACAGCCATTAAGAATTGTAACATTGCATCTTAACACACGCTGTCTTCCCCAACCTCCCTCTATCAGTCTCAGCTCAACTTTTAGTCCTACCCTCTCATTCCTACATTCAGTTCACTTAAACCCACCTTTGCAATGGCCTGTCTCATTAGGCCGCTGATCAAAACTGTTCCTCATCTCTGTACTTTCAAGTCATGCCGACACACCTTGACTGGGCCGCAAACTGTTTATTTTGTTCTTTTCCTTGTATCACAAACCTTCCTGACCACTGAAGGGAACAATTTTATGATATCCTATACTATAAGCACATAACCAAGTAACTGGGCGTAATAGAAGCAGATCAGTCAACTGAGGCAGCGGGTGCCCAGGCCTCTAGGTTCGCAGTATGTAGCATTTATGAGTCTTTTTTTGAGTTAAACTCAAGTCTGGAGCCTCAGACTCAACACTGCATCACATACATGGCTCAGAGCTGTCCAAAGGACCCATCACTGGGGCTGGTCCTCACTCAGTATTTGCCTGGAGAAGAGACCCTACGCTCAGGCTTCCTCCAGGAGGAATCTGGTTTGTATCTACCAGAACGATGCCATGAGCCAAGCCAATGAGTGTCAAGTGGGAATGATCAGAGAATTCACTTTAAACCTTAATAACACGATAGCTTGTGGAAGCAGGGCAGTTTTAACCAACGCCACAATGCTTGCTGGTGAAGAGAGAGAGAATATTTAGCCGCCAAAGTAAGTGCCTTCAGAGCATATTCCAACTTTCAGAATTTAGATTAAGATTGAATATCTTTTCTTGGCAACAGTAAAAAAATTTTAAAAAAAGCTTTACCAACTTCAATCCTCTTGCTCCAGACCAAGGTCAGGGTAGAAGTTGTAATTACAGAAAATGTGTAACAATTTAATTAAACGGTTACAAATTCTGGACCCTAGAAAACACCACTGCCCTTTTTGCTTTCTGAAACAAACAAAATGAATGCTTTAATCCACCAATAAGCAGAGAAAGTCAGACACAGAAAATTAAAGACAATATTAGATCTCATAGAAAAATAATCTCACTTAAAGCTACACAGGTACCTATGTCAAGAAGGAAAAAAATCAACCATACATTGACTCAAAGTTACATGAAATGTCTCTACTTTGAAAAGAAAATAATACGAACAAAACCAACAGCAAAACATCAATTCAGTAGGATTTTCTTAAATTGATAGGTAGTGAAACTGCATGAGGAAGTAAACCCTTATTTTACATTTCAGAATTTCAATTATTGACGAGACACTGAGTTTCATTGTTCATTTTTCATTTCCGGACTCCAGCAAGCACCAGGGTGTAAAACAAATGAGCAATATTACATGCAAAAGAAAATTATTTGGATCACCCTAATCATCTTCTAACACATTTGAAAGAAATTTAAATGAAATTATCAAAAAAAAGGAATCAGATACTCAAACTGAGTAAACAAAATGAGAAGGAAAAATAATTTAAAATCTTAAATAGTTCCTGTCATGTGAAATTTTATTCATTATAAATGTAAGTATGTATTCCAAAATAGGAAGCAGGACTTAAGCTTCAGAGTTTAGCCTGTTTTCATCTACAATACCCATAATGCATCCTGAAATACAATTTATGCAGGAATAATAACAGAATAATAAAACTTTTTCTCTCATTCTCTTAGCTTCTTTGACATTTAATGTCAATCTGCAATAACAAAGCTAATAATGATCTTTGTCTCCACATACTGCTATTGAAACAAAGCCTTTCTTGGTAAATTAAAGGGTAATTTTGTTCCCACTATTCCAGTCTAAATCTTTCTGGGCTAGAATCACAGAAGCTCATGGCATAAATCACCCTATAATCCAGATCACCTTCTCTCTGCAAGAGAGACAATGTTCTTTTGGAAATAATCATGTGCGCAACCACAACCCAAAGCAGAGCAGCATGAAGCACGGAAGATTTCATCTTAAGTTCATTACATGACAGGAACACCAGATACTTCTAGAGGTTTCCCATTCAAAGCTGAACACACAACAACCTTCCCAAATTTGTAAATCACATGATGACACACTACAAAGCAGTATCTCAAATGTTACAGAAAATCATACTTCAGACTGGCTTATAATTAGGAGCATGTTCTTTAATCATATGGCTTCCAGGTCCGCAAAGTCATTGGCGTGCGCTGAGCTTTATGCAAGTATTACGTTGATTTTATGGGCACTACTTGCATCAGCAACACAAGCTGAGCCACACAGAATGATTTTGGCATCTAGCAAGTTTCACACAAAGCATCACATCCACAACAGCTTCCAGGCAACCTTCCACTGTGCACCTCTGTTACTACCTCTTCCAGCTGCCACAACAGCCTACTTAGCCTGATACATGGGTGACAGCAGTTGCAGCAGCCAAGGTTAAGTGGGAATTACCGAGTCAAACTTCCTCTTCACTGTCAGTTACCCCTATGAACAGAGGCACTGCTGAGGGTTAAGTATTAACAAGACCAAGGCCTTAATGGCCATTAATTCCATATGGTCAGATTAGCTCACTGCAGAATGGAAGATAAATCAAGAATGCTCATATGCGTAACTATGTAATGCCACCGCGCGCAGCGTACAGTACGTCAGAATAACTTTCCATTAAAAGGTAGAACTTACCCCTCTTCTGAACCCAGCCTTCCTTCACAATGGTAACATCGCTCATGATGGCTCCACTCTGAACCCCCAACTCAAAAGAGTATTTCTTTGAGTTATCAGCTTGTCTGTTTGGCTTCTCTTCTGCAGCTCTTCCCAATTTCTACTGATGAGTCAGCCTGGAAGGAAATATTAGAGAAAGAATTTAAGTCTTTTCTGTTTTTCTCACTTGACAGCCAACAAAAGTGTCTTTGTTGATGACTTCCACTGACTGAGCTCATATTAAAAATCTGCCTTTTTTTTTTAATTAACCATATAACAGAATCATGTTTTGAGTCTTACAGCACATTTTCCATGAACACTCTAATACTTAAAAGAAGCAGAATGTGTTAAGTTTTAAGTCATATGGCACTGTTATAAATGCTCATAATAGATCTCTCTTGTACTAACACAGAGGATGCTGTTAAATGAAAGGGTGTCAGTATTGCTTCACAGGTCCAACTCTGAACCCACGGGGGCTTTAACAATTCCCGTATTTTTCAGAATCCATGCAATGGATTGATCATATGAAGAGTGCAAGAAAACGAAAGGAAAGGTTCTGCAAAGGACCTTAAAACGAATGCCTTAGACACTGTAGATAGTTATCCTCATAATTGTTAAAATCTGTAGTGACCAGTCTACCAGTCATGCAATTAGTTTTCTTAAGGCTTGAAGTAATCAAAAAATATATAGTAAAGGCTACAGAAATATACCTCTCTATAACTTCTTTATAGTAAATACAAATCCTTTACTTACAGAAGTTTTTTAAAAACAGCATCATCTGCATGTACACAAAAAGAAAACCAACTTCTTAGGAGTACAAACTAACCAATAAAGTTAACATTTAGTTTATAAAAACAAAGAGTATGAGTTTTTTCAAGGCTTTAAGCCAGATAGTGACAACAGTCCTCTTTTCCCTACCAAGCTCAGCTGACAGGGACATTACCCAAAGCTCAGCTTACAGGGACATTACCCTGGAACAGGATCTGCCACTCTCAGAAGCCACAACCCTCTCTTCTGATCACCTCACCTTACTCCCAGAGTACCCAACAGCTGTGAAGAAGAGATAAATAGCACTGCAATCAAGTAGGAAGAGAAGCCAGAGGGCAGGAGGGGTTTCCTTTGCCAGCAGACTGCCTTTCCCCTCCATCCTTCAAAATAAAGAGAAGCATTCCAATAATGTGCATCTAGAAAAGGGTGGGAAGCCAAGAAAAGGGATTTCTCTGTGGCTGTACACACGAGAGCATGCGTGTGGAACAGCAGCCCACACACCATTTTAGTACTATCAAATGCAGCACACACATATCCATTTAATAGACCAACCAACAAATGTAAACATGGGATAGAAACAAATATGACTTTGCTAGAAGCAATCTATGCAACAAAAGAATGAATAAATAAGCTGGTTTAATCCAACCAAGTAGAGGCTAAAAAATGAACCACTATACACAGGTGGATTATTTCTTATGTATCATTTGAAAAAACGTGTATTTGCACCACACAGCAGCTAGATGGAAGGCTACTTGTGTATGGATAATGTGCTATGCAAAATAAAACCTGGTATGAGTATTTATTTCAAGTGGTATGCAAAAAAAAAAATGCAGTACAATCTGATTTTGCAGAAACACTGAAGTGTGCCCATTTTACAGCTTTGCTTTCACCAAACTATTTTCATAAAAACATGCAGTATCTCAGCTGCATAGAAGTAAAAGCCACAATTCTAGACTCAATACCACTGTAAAGTTTAAGTAACACTGAATGCAGTGCCTCTGAGACATCTCCACAGCACTGGCAGATATGACAGTAAGACCTGTGCAGGTGAAGCACAGCCTTCTGCATGGGCATCGCACCCTGCTGTGTCTAAAAGGGCACAGGACACCTGTGTTTATGCAGCTGCAGACTGCCTTAAGATTTAAATATTATTTAAGCTATGGTAAGAGTTCAAAGAAAATATAACGGACAAGGTTTTGGAAGGACGTGAGTCTGCTTCGTTACTGTTAATTGACCTCGCTAGCTTTAGCTGTTTAGGCTTTGTATTACGTAAGTCAGCATGGCAGCAATAACCAGAACGTGCATTTCCACGTCCTTCACCTTACCAGAGCGAGAGTTATTTTCTGGGTCATAACATTATCAGAACTTTTGTTTGTGCACTTCAGACTTGGAGATAAGCAAGTCTATCAGCTGTGTGTGGAAAGAGATCCTGACAGATTAAGACATGTGTCTGAAAGCAAGCTGCAGTTTTGCCGTTCTGGATCACTGCAGCACACTATCAGCTCTTATTACAAACACACAAATCTTTACAAAGCCAGAGGTGAGCGTCAGACAACCATGACCTAAAAGCAGCTGCTCTCTGAAGGAAGCATAAGCACATTAGTATCCAAATATCTGACTTAATTTCAATTTTCCTAGAAGATATTCACTGATTTGCTTAAGAAATAATCATAGGTGACTTTTTCATTCACCTATATAGACAAATGAAGCAATGTAATACACAGCACTTAGCTTGGGCTAGCATATGATGCAATGTTTTACCCTTTTGGTAAATTTAATGAACTTTCCAATTTTGGTGTCTGCTTACGAAAAGTGCATTAATTTTTTTATCGGTAGAGACTAATCTATAAGAAATGAACTTCTGTACTAAGTAGCAATAATCTTGTCTGCCCACATACTGATCATTAGGTCCATGATTTCAGCAGACACCCAGATTTAATGAATGAACTTACGCTTAAAGCTCCCTATTTATCCACTGATTACAATTCAGTTAGTCTTACTCAATCAAAATCTGATCTATGACCAATTTTCATGTCAATACCCCAACAACCTCAAGCACATGTTTGTAGAATTGCATCCAACCCACTGCATGAACTATTTTACTGATTTTTTAACAAAACCTCAAAAATACAAAAATTGGATATATATGGTGACAAAACTAACTGACTTATCTTCCAGTTTAGCTTCACAACATTATCAAGAACAACTTAAGGAAAGTTATCAACAGTTGTATGGTTATACTGATCACTCCTTTAATGGGTAATTAAAAGTCAAGCTGAATTACACAGGAAGCTGAAGGAGATAAACGGAAACATTAAAAGACTAATGAAAATAAAGGTTATATGTTCACACCACACTTTCAACGAGTCATTTGTTAGGATCTGTATTACTACCCCTTATTAAATTCCTTTAAGGCTTTCTAAAAGCTGTATTCCTTTACTCAGAAAGTCACTCAGCAAAGCTCTAAAAGTGCAGACTTTCGAGAATTGCTTCTTATCATGACAGAAAGTGACCTTAACGAAAAACAGTCATACAGAAAACTTCTTCCCCGAAGATGTAATAAAAGATTGTCTATAGATGTAAAGGCGTTGCCTGAAACATGTGGAACAAGAACGCACATGAAAAGAGCTTCCCATCCGTTGCTCAGCTATTTCAAGAAAAGCTACAGAAATGTTTATTCTGCACAGCCAGCACAGAACTTAAAAACTTGTTAGCAATCAACTGCTCTCCCAATGCGCTTCAAGTTTCAGCAGCTGGTATGTAATAATCTTTACAACTTCCCTTATTGCTATAGGATGAACCCACAGAAACAGACAAAAATGTGTAAGAACTCAAGTTGAAAATATTTTGCATTCCAGCTGCTTCCTCACAGGGAAAAACTTGATTTGTTTTTATATATGTTCTAGCAACTGGAGGACAGGTTGGATTACTTTTTTCTTCCCTGCACTACCAAACAGAACTTATACTTTTCTAACAGTATATTGTGTGCAGACTTGTGCGCGTATACTGCAAACAGTATAGTCTTATATATGAATAATACAAACAAGAACCTATTGTCTGCATGCTCTATGGTGCAGGCATAAAAATTTACTCCATCACAGGCTGTTATGTGAAGAAAACACCTGTGGGTTTTTTTATCTGGTAAAAAACAGAAGAACTTTTCCTCTCCTCTGGAAAGCTATTAAGCCATTTCTATAGAGTTTGATGAAACATTTCAGCACACTTTTAAGGAGCTAGTATTACACTCTTAAGTTCCTAGCTGTAGAGGTTGCAAAGACATTTTTCTGAACAAAGATTAAGCAGAAGCAATTACATGCAACAGAGTTTCAGGTCCCTCTGCAGAGGCTCACAGTGTTCCCAAGCTGTGGTGAAAACTAACAAACACCTTTTCAGTTTTCATCTTGAACTTTAAGAGTAACAGGAGTATAGAGAAGAACCAGCTCATTTCACAGTGCTGCCACATGGGAACTCTGAGACCAATCGTTACAATGAACAATGGACCACTCAGTAACACATCTTTTCCTTAACTTGTATTTTTAAACTAAAGGTTTTCATGTCCATCACAGCAGTCAGGTAACTCCACAGAGCCAGTGGACGGGAGGAAGGAAAGAAATCCCTTCCAAGCAGAAGGACTAAAACCAGTGGTTCAGGTCTCACTTTAACCACTATGTGTAAGTGAATAATCACTGAGATTCATAAGAACAGACAACACTCCCTTGGAATCTGGGCATCCTCCCATTTCCCCCGTGACAAGAGGCAGCTGAGTAAAGAAGACAGTGCCCATAAATTCAGAGTAAATTGTATGATTCAGGTCTCTGTTGTAAGAACTTTCACAAACACAGGCTCCTACTTCCAACAATTTTGGAGCTGAGAAAAAAAACACAGATATTCTCACATTTACCAACTGAAATTACCAGAGAGAACATGAACAAGATCGGTTTCAGCATTTCCAGAGACAATTCCTATAACTTATCGTAACATTATCAACTTAGTGATTCATGCAACCTTTTTCTCTTAATATATAAGGGAACTACCATTTTCCTTTTTAACAAGTAATCATTTGTTTAATAAAATGTTTGGGGGAAAAATCAGCAAGTGAATCTTCCTGATTCACCTTTCCTGACTCACTGAGATTTCTTGGTCCTGAACATAAGCAGAGCCAAATCTCATCATCTCTATCTCCTTATTTCTCAGAAAGGTAACTGAAAAATGCTGTGCTTGCATGCACAAATAGCACACTACCGAAAAAAAACACCCAACCTCTCAGTCTTCTTCTAGTGACTTCCACAACACATTATTTGTTTCCCTGCTTTGGGTGGGGCTTTTTTTTGTAGCAGATCAAGCTCTTAAAAGGTTTTCTTAAATCTGAGTT